CCCTCTCTCTCTCTCTCTCTCTCTCTCTCTCACACACACACACACATACACACGATCGTGCGCCACCACAGGGAAGTAATCAAGGTCATTGAGGACTATGACACAGAGCTGGAGAGTTAATTAGCTCTGGGGAAAGATGGTGATAAAACATGGCTAGCTCAAACCAGGTGAAAGTACAGTGTTCCTAAATGTCTTTACTTGGAGGAGGAAGGAAAAAAGCATTCACCATCTCAATATCTGTAAACCAGGACGCAAAGAGTATGCTGCCTTATTAACTTTACTATAATCCACACGTCACACAGTGCAGCTGAATGGGGACGTGGTAGGAATCATCATCCCTGTATCTCTGGTGTTTTGTTGTTTGCTTTTTGTTTTGGAACAAGGTCTTGCTATGTAGCCTTGGATGTCCTGGAACTTGCTTTGTAGACCAGGCTGGCCTCAGCAGAGATCGGCCTGCCTCTGCCTGGGATTTAAGGTATGCACTACCATACCTGGTTATCCCTGCATTTTTTAAGTCCTTGATGTGGGCAGATGAGGTGGCTCAGTGGTTAAAATCACTTGCTGTTCTCGAGGAGGGCCTGGGTTCAGTTCCCAGTGCTCCCTTGGGGCCTTACAACCATCCGTAACTTTAGTTACTGAAATCTAGTGCCCTCTTCTGGCCTTTGTGAGCACCAGACAGGTATGAAGTATATAAATACATGCAAAGCACTCATTCACAGAAAATATAAGTAAATCATATATATATATATATATTGCACACCTTTAATCCCAGCACTCTTGAGGCAGAGGCAGGAGGATCTCTCAGTTCAAGGCCAGGCTGGTCTACAAGAGTGAGTTCCAGGACAGCCAGGACTACACAGAAACTTTGTCTCAACAATAAATATATAAATAAACAAATAAATAATAAAGTCCTTGATCATGCCATTAATCTCTGCAGGAATGTAGCACTGCTTTGGTTTAGCATTTTGGAATTTCTAGTGCCTTTGCCTGGGCCTTTTATATGATGAGAGCGCCAAGTCCTAACCACTAGACCATCAGGGATGCTTGGGTCTTTTATATGATAACAGTCCTCATCCCACAGACCAGAGGCTCGGCACAGGGACTCTGCCAATGGTGAGTTCATACATTCCCAATGTGCATGCTGTGGGATGTCTTTCTGTATGCTTTGAATATGTGTTGCTCTGAATGGTTCATAGATAAAGCTGTGTGGCCAATGGTGAGGCAGAATAAGGTTAGGCGGGACATTCTAACTGGAGAGGGAGGAGAAGAAAGGAGA